CAATTTAAATTTAAAATTCAATTAAACATTTTAAACTTTAAATATAAAACTTTAAATATAAAAATTTAAATATAAAAATTTAAATATAAAACTTCAAATATAAAACTTCAAAATTAGAGATTTTAAAATTTAAATTTTTTAAGATTTAACCTATTGTCTAGATCAATCGAAATCGATCAATCAATCGAAATATTTTCCTCGATCTGTTCAGGCTCCAGAGCTGCCACCGCGCCCATGTGCAACGAAAAGCTTTGAGGATCAATGTGTAAATTTGCATTGTTTCAAATTTAGCCTACCCTAACTGCATAAAGTTAGCGTAATTTAAAAGAAAGTTACCGTAAAAATTCTCATAGAAGACCATCGCCTTGATCCGCTGAAATCGTGACTTTTTGAAATTTTTTTTTAGGTAGAATGTTAGCTTTAGGGTCCAGATAGTTGTTGTTCAGAAATGTTCAGATAAAGATTTTAACTTTAAGATTTCCACGAAGCGTCACTCTTGTGTATTGAATTTAACTACCACTTTGTTTGATGTACTGAAGTAACTATAAAGTAACTATAAAGTAACTAATAGGTTGATGCATAAGTGTTTTTGTTCCTTTTCGTCTGCCGTTTCAAGCCAACAAATGCACCAATTAAACTACGGTTGATTTCATTAGAAAAACGAATTATTTTTCTGCAAAATAACATTAAAACGGGTTTAAAAATATTTAATGCCTGGATTTTCTTGAGAGTATGAAGTCGGGTAGTCAAAAAGGGCTAACTCGATGATGCGGTTTAGACACCTTAGCTAAAGAAAACCTATCTTCGTGTCAATAGATAAAAGATAGAGAAAAAAAAAGTTTGATATTTCGCCAAAATTTCAGAGAAATTCATTCAGCCAATTTTTCCGTAGAGTTTTTTATAGATTTTTACGAAAAAGGCGTTTTTCACTCTCGAATTTGCTTGAAAGTGAACCGAAATTCATTTAAAAAGATGCAAATTGAACAAAAAAACACTTTTTTTATAGAGCAAACTATAGATTAATTGGTGAATTTGTTACTTTTTAACAGAAGTACGAAAAAAACGAAAAGACTTATGCATCAACCTAATATAAAGTAACTATAAAGTATGCGCCAAGCAAACTAAAAGCCTTAATTCCGCTTTCGAGCCCGATTTTCCCAAGTTTCATCTCAACTTTTGCAAGAATATCAATTTCTACTAGCGATTCGAAATTCCATTAAATTATTGGATAACTTTTTAACGGTTTTTTAGACATATATTAAGTTCGAAAACCGATTCAAGAAATCACTAATATAAGTGCAAGTATTGAGTTTCAAAATTAACGGCTTTACGGCGCAATTTGTTAATTTATAAAACTAAACAAGAAAACAAGAGCCAGACTGACTTTACGGGTGTACTTTGTGCTCAAAAACTTTAACCGCCTCTTCTCTGGTGTACTCAATAACTCATTTTTCTTTTGACTTGTGACACCAAAGCGTTGCCGTAAGAAAAATGAAGGATTAATTCCACCAGAAAGGGTGTGTTTACCAATTTCTAAGCCAAAAGTGCATGCGAAAGAATCAAAAGTCGGTGCTATGTTTTAAGTTTCAAAATAGATAACTCTAAAAGAGAATCCTTTCGTTTAATTCATTGATTCATAACAAATATTTCACTCTGATTGAGCTGAAAGTAAATCCCAAACAAGTAAACCGAACACAGCCGCCAATCTTGAGATATTACTCTTTTTTTAGAGAAACTTGAGCGTTTGCGATTTTTCTGCATCATTAGCAATCGAAATTTCGAAAACAGGCTTAGGTGATAGATTGGGTTTTTTAAAAACATTCTTCTCAACGTTTAAAACAGAATTTCGAAATCAAGACAAGTCAAGTCAACGGCCAGATAAAGGAATTTTGAAGTTTCAAATTTTTCAAGGTTTCTTGCTACCGCCCAATATTAATGAGAAAGCATTTTATCAAATAAATCCATTCGAATTCAACCTTCAGACTCAATCTCAAACGCTAAAGTGCTGGTTGAAAATTTATGTTTTCAAAATTTGAAACACTTCTCTCAAGGAATTTTTTTTTAATGTAGGAGTGAATCCATTGTAAAACTGTCAAAAGGTTTAGAAAATGAAAGGAAAATTTCACCGTGATCAATTCATTTGAGCACAAAGTAAATCCCAAACAAGTAAATCAGTCTTTTTCTACCAAAAAAACGGTTTGATTGTCTTTAAAATAATGAATTTTTCAACGAAGAACCTGTAATGCCTAGTCTAATGAACCCGATTGTCTGTAATTGAGTTTCAAAGTCTGTAATTGAGTCTGTCTGTAATTGAGTTGTTAATTTATAGCGTTAATCTTGTTAAAATATGGTCGAACTTTAAAAATCTCAAAATTTTTGGCTTGAGACTTTGATAACTTTTGATCTTTCTACAGATTCCTCATCATAATGAATTTTTCATCTTAGAACATGCTGAATGCTTTCAACGAAGAACAGGCTTAACGAAGAACTGCAACAGAACAAGAAGAATAGTCTAGTGAACCCGATTGTCCGTGGTTGAGTTTTTAGAAAAGTACACTTAATGATTCTCATAAATTATTTGGAAAATAGAGAAATTTATGAAAAGCTAGCGCTTAAATACAACCAAATAGCACTATAGGAGTGAATCCATTGTAAAACTGTCAAAAGGTTTAGAAAATGAAAGGAAAATTTCACCGTGATCAATTCATTTGAGCAAAAAGTAAATCCCAAACAAGTAAATCAGTCTTTTTCTACCAAAAAACGGTTTGATTGTCTTTAAAACAATGAATTTTTCAATGAAGAATATGTAATGCATAGTCTAATGAACTCGATTGCCTGTAAATGAGTTTCAAAATCGTTAATTTATAGCGTTAATCTTGTTAATATATGATCAAACTTAAAAAAACCAAAATTTGTGGTTTTAAACTTTGGTAATTTTTGACCTTTCTACAGATTTCTCATCATTTTCTTCACTTTTTTTTTGATTTTTAGTCAGTTTACTCAGCCATTTATCGCCCTCAGATTAGAAAGAAGAAAACTTCTCATGAAGGGGAAAGTACGCGGAAAAAAAGGCTGAAATCGTTGGAGCACTTCAAAAAAATTATTTGATAAGCAAACTTTTGGGATTTCCCCACACAGTTCATTGAGTTTGTCTGTTTAAATAAAAGAATTTAAAGTTTGATTTTCAAATGAAAGTTTTCTTAGAAGCCATATTTCTTTTTGATTGACTTTTCCTAATAACTTTAAAGCTTGTTTCATTTGAAACATTGAATTTTAATTTCTCTTTTTTATTTAGCTGTCTTATTTGAAAGTTTTAGTTACCGTATTCTCTCTAATAGTAGTGCCGAGTTGGTGCCTCTAATAGTAGTGTACCCCGGCGAGCCGAGTTGGTGCCTCTAATAGTAGTGCCCCGGGGAGCCGAGTTTGGTGCCTCTAATAGTAGTGTACCCCGGCGAGCCGAGTTGGTGCCTCTAATAGTAGTGTACCCCGGGGAGCCGAGTTTGGTGCCTCTAATAGTAGTGTACCCCGGCGAGCCGAGTTGGTGCCTCTAATAGTAGTGTACCCCGGGGAGCCGAGTTGGTGCCTCTAATAGTAGTGTACCCGGCAAGCCGAATTGGTGACTATTTTACGGTTTCCAAGCTTTTGCAGAAGCTCAACACTCTAATCCTCCACTAGATCTCATCGTCAGCTACATTTTCCGACCCCACATCGATAGGTTCTGATCAGCGGTTCTTGAGTTTTCGGCAACGCTCAGGGTGCACTACTATTAGAGAGAATGCGGTATATAAGTAAATTTAATCAAATTTTTTGAAAAACCATGTTTCATTGTTTCAGGAAAGCTTTTTAAACAAAGTAGATCAATAAAAACTCGCTCGACACCACCATTTCATTAATTTATCTTGATCCGGTTTTAACTTAATCACTTTTAAACATGAAAACTCAATTTACAATTGCTGGAAATGTACAAAAACACAAAGCTGACTTGAGAATCAAAACTAGAAACAATTACATGAAAAATTTGGACAAAATTTAGCAAAGTTGACTAGTAAAGTTGCCCAGAGACTAGTAAAGTTATATGATTGAAAATTATATGATTTACCCATAAAGCTTTGGAAGGATTAACTTTTTTATATCTTCCTTCAGTTGCTTCACTTTGAAACATCAAATCTCCATCTTAAATTCAATCTTAAATTACTTTAAAATCTTTATTTGAACCTTGATCGTACAGAAACAGAATTTCAACAAGTTTTTCTCTTGTTTTCAGTTCGTTTATAACTCCAAAAACACTAATTTTTATGTTTCCTTATCAGATTCAGTCTAGAATTTTATGGGTTTTTTTTGTATTAAAATTGGGGGCAATCAAGTTTTTAACAATTTTTTTTTCAATACCTAATGTAAACAGTTATCATTTCTGATATTGAAATCGAAAAACTAGAAGTTTCTATTTTACTTGAGACTTAAAGTTTCAACTTTGCCAGCTTTCTGGACATTGGTGAGTTGACAATGACAGGATCGGGTTTCCCGAAAAACTATTGTCATCTTTATATTCTACCGCCAGACTTGCATAGTGTTTTTCAGCTAAAAAGCTTCCTAAAAGGTAGCCATTTTAGATAAACTACCGTAAACATTCGTTTCATTCGTTTCATTCGATTCGAGTTTTCATTCGAGCCAGCTTTCATTAGATAAGCTCAATTTTGGTTGATGAGAAAACTCGGCCCAAATTTTGGCTCGGTCAAATTATACCAAAAATTAAGCTGATCAAGCAAAATTGGTAATAAAATCAAATAAAATTACGATTGTTTTCTAAAATCTTTGCGTTTTAAGGCCGTTGAGCCAAAGAAGTAAAGATGTTTCGGTGATTAAGTTCAAAATTAACATTATTATCAATTTTGTTGTTGTCAGGTTGTCAATTTTGAAACTCAACCACAAATCTAGCAATTTCGACTTGATTTGTGCCAATTTTCAATGTTTCAGGAATAATTTTTCCCTAAATTTTCAGCATGGAAAGACAAATGAAGGTTTGCGTGGTCGGCGCCGGCGCTTCTGGTCTCCCGTCTATTCAGTGGGTTTTGTGATTTCAAAAAAAACAAAGTGAGTTTCAGAGTAGAGTTCAAAGTAGTGCTTTCATTCGCAAAAGTTTCTTCTCTTCTTCTAGCTCTTCTTACCTCTCTTCTTCTAGTTTTCAAAATTTCAGCTGGGCAAAACTGTACGGCTTTCAAGTGACATGTTTCGAGGCCTCGCCCGACATTGGCGGACTTTGGCGTTACAAAGATCACTCGACACAGGGTCAGTGGAAGAGGGGAAAAGGGGAAAAGGGGAAACTCAAGTTTCAAAGTACAACGCGATGGAGTTAGTTTGCTTAGTTTGTACGATGTTCTTACTACAAAATTTGAAATTCCCTTTAGTACGTTATCTAGAAAGGGCCTATTTCAGCAAACTACCGTAATCCAGCCGCCAGTATTCACTCGATCACCCAAATTTTTGGTATAATTAAGCGAGCCTTGTGATTAAGCGAGCCTCAGCGAATGATCTCCAAATTGGGGTCATCGAATGAAAAGTGCCGGGTGGATTACAATGGTTTTTTTTAAAATAGAAATTACACACTATTGATATGATGAACAATGTTTTTACGAACATTTTTACTATTATAATTATATTAGAATATATTTTTACTACTTCTAGTTGTCTCTGTGCCATTATTTTCTGACTCAACTGCAATGGTCAACTAAGACTAAGCCTAAGCCTCATTCCAGACACGAGAGTGACCTGAAAATTTGCCAGGATGCTCCTATGGGGGGCGGATGAGCATCGCCAAGCGGGTGTGCCTTAGCTCCGAGAACTGGCTGAGATCCAGAAAATGGGGGTTTAGCCCAAACCCAAATAGACTTAGTGCTAGGCGCTAGCCGCTAGCCTTCGCACTAAGTTCAAGCCTAAGCCTAAGCCTACTTGAAACGTGAAACCTCTTCTTTTCATTTACTCACTCAGAATCCTCAAGGAAACAATGAGCAACTCAGTGATTCATTGAAAGTTCGAGAATCTAGAAATAAAAAATCTAATTCATTTTCATTCAAAACAGTCACAAATTTCAAAGAAAAGAGTATTTTGATAAATGCAGATTTTTCAAAAGAAAATGTTTCAAAATATCGGAATTGAAATCGATTGAATTTAGTTCAATAATAATCCAACGAGAGTAGATCACAAAACAAATTGAATTTTCATTCTCAGAATCATCCGTGATGCGTGGGACGGTGATCAACACGAGCAAGGAAATGACTGCTTATTCCGATTATCCACCACCAGCGGTTGGTTTTTTGGGACATCTAGCTAAAAAGTAAAAGACAAGGAATCGAGCACAGCATCGTTCATTAGGTTTAATGATTCTGCAGAACTGGAAGAGACTTTTGCAAGTGAAAGGCGTTCATTTTGAAGCTAAACCGTTAAGAAACTTGATTATTTAGCTTGATTTTGTAAAATATAAAATAATTCAAGAAAATAAGCCTTTCAGGATTTCCCAAACTTCATGCATAATGCGAAATTGATGCAATATTTTCGAAGTTACGCTGACGAAATGGACTTGCTGCCGCATATCAAATTGAATCACAAAGTTAGTTGAAATTTGGTTGAAATTTGTCGATTTGTCAATGCTAATGAATTTTAGATCGATTAATTCGAATCCAATTTGAATACTATTTGAATACAATAATTATTGGGTTGGTGAATTGAAATCTGCCGGCAATCTGTCATATGCCACAGTTTGAGCACTTTCTTCAAAAGAAACCCATTTTGGTGTCAATGGAAAAGTTGTAGAGAATCAAAAATCAAGCTTATATCCAAATTTTCAGAAAGATTCAAAAACTGCTTTTCAAGAAATGCCAAATTTACGAATTTTCACAAAACTTGCATTTTAAGCGAAACTACTAAGTGTATCTTTTTGGAAATTTGGCTATAAGCCTAATTTTTGATTCTCTACAACTTTTCTATTGACACCAAAATGGGTTTCTTTTGAAGAAAGTGCTCAAATGCTCAAACTGGGACATCTCCAGTCCTCCATTTTTGAGTCTCACACACAAACCAAAGTCCTACCAAAAAAGAGGAATCCGCAAATTGCCTGTAAAATGAGCAGAAGTCGTCAATAATAATGGAAATTATTTGGAATGAATTTATAGTTTTATGTTGAATAAATTTTAGTTCAAACTCCCGCAGTTTTCAATTCACCAACCCAATAAATGAAAGAATTCCCTTCAATTTTAAAACTTAAAACATCACAACAGCTTATCGTTAGATTAAAACAAATTAGCGTTTAAAATAACTGAATCTTATTGAATTTACAGGTTCTCAACATTCAACGAACCGACGATTATGGTAAAACCGGGCAATGGAGTGTTCAGTATCAAGATGGGTGAGTGGGAAAAGATGGGGTTTCAAATTTGATAGTAGCTTTTGAAATTGAAACCTTGAAAGCTACATCATTGAACCTTGAAAAGCTTTCATTTCTAAGCCTTGAGTCGCTAGCGTTCAAATTTGATGCTTATGAATTGTTTTTGAGTTGGTCAATGATGTAGCTACTTTTAAACTGTCTTGCGCGCTCAATAACTGTCTTGAAATAGCAACTAGGTGTACAGCGAATGCCCAAATTCTGCATAATGGATTACTGAATCTAGTGACGGTCAAACAAACGAGGAAATTTTCGATGGAGTACTCCTTTGCACTGGGCATCATGCTAACAACAATATGCCAAAGTGGGTTTAGAAAAAATGCGTTTATTCACAAGAATAATGTGATAAAAACAATACACAAGCCCGCCACAATAGCACAGCCCCTAAGCTCTAAATGTAGAGAGGAAAAAAACGCGTATATGGAAAAAAGAGTTAATAAACTGTCCAGCGGGATTGAATGATCTCCCGCCTAACAAGGGAATCACAGATATTTATAGAAGCCGATCGACCCTAAAATTGGTGGGTTGATAGAATCGACTCTGGGGAACAACATATTAAAAATTGAGCTGCAAAGCTCCAAGATTACGGTAGTTATAACGATTATAAACATTTCGCTTTCTATCGAGAAAATCGTCTCTGCTCTATTTGACCACATAACCTTTCGTTTTCGTTTTCTATTCCAAAAAATTATTTCAAAGACCGACTTGAACCCGAAAGCCTCATTGAGCTTTTGCAATTAAACGCACTACCACTACACCACCGCGTAATGGGTCTAGCCTAGTGCTAACTAGCCCAATATCGTTACGAAGAGAAACTCCATTGTCACACCATTGTCGCCACTTACCAAAGATTTAAAACACTATAACTACCGTAATCTTAGAGCTTTGCAGCTGAATTTTTAATATATTGTTCCCCAGAGTCGATTCTATTTATCCACCAATTTTGGGGCAATCAGGAAAATTATATGGCAAAAGTATATGTGGTTTCCTTGTAAGATACATGGCTATTAACCAGTCGACTATGGTGGCGTTTTGATTGAAAAACTAGCAGTCACAGAGAATACTAATGAAAAGAAATCTTTGGTATAAGAAAAAACTTGAAACATTCATTTTAAAATAAAATTGAATTTGGTTTCAAATTAAATTTGCATCGATTCAAATTACTGCTAAACATTTTCCATAGTAGCTGTTGAAATTGAAACCTTGAAAAGCTTTCTTTCTAAGCTTTCTTTCTAGCGTCTTTATTAAAGGAAGGCTTTTCTTTAAAAGTTTTAAAATTTGAAACTCATTATTCAAATTCGAGTCTTATCCTGTTGATAAAATGTCTAAATTTTTAGTATTTAGATGGGATGGAATGGAGAGTTTCCCAGGGAAAATCATTCACAGTCACGACTACAAAAGCCCGGATGGTTGGTGAAGAAAAGATGAAAATAAAGTATTTAGCTAGACTGAATATCTTTGTAGGGAATTATGCAAAGATAAAAACTATGCAAAGATAAAGGCTATGCAAAGCTATGCAAAGCTAGAAACTATGCAAAGCTAAAAGCTATGCAAAGCTAGAAGCTATGTGAAGCTAGAAACTATGCAAAGCTAAAAGCTATGCAAAGCTACATCCGTATTTTTGCCCGGCCAATGAAAACAAGATAAATGTAAATTCCGGCATGTCTTTAGTTTGGTAAAGATAAGGGAAACACACAGTTTAAATGACTTTAGATTTATGTTTTAATAAAGTAAAGATTTTAAGACGATTTTCAATAGAAATCCATTCAAAACCATCTCAAAACTAGGATAAAAAATGCTAAGATTCAATGAAATAAGATGTCAAAGATCAATATTAACTTATTGGCAGGATAAAAATAAGAATAATCAGCAAAAGCTGAGTAAAAAGATTCAGTTTTATCGGCTGAAAACCGGGTTTTTTTAGTCAGGCATACTGTATTAGAATAGGATGCATTTTTGTAAAAAATGAATCAATTAACTAATTAATTTACTTACCGTAAATACTGTAATAGTACCCCACCCCCATAATGACGGTGCGGAGTGTTGCGTAGTCTAGCTTTAAACGAGTTTTTCTCGACACTGGTTTATGCTACAATGCGCGCTTCGGTATCAAAAAATAGCCCTGAATTTCAGCTATTTTTTGATACCAAAGACGCATTTTTTGAAAGTACGGGCGCTTTGAAAAAAATGAAATACTAAAAAACTTTTGCGACTACGCGACTGTACGAGGGGGGTGGGGTACTATTACAGTATTTACGGTAGTTAATTAACTAATTAATTTATTAGGTTGTTCGGATATAAACGAGCGTTTTAGTAGTCAACAAAATTTACCTTAAAAACAGAAACAACACAGTTTAATCCAAAGTATATTCACCATTATTATTGATTACTTCTTGCCATCTTCTTGCGCAAAGAATTGATGCCGCTCTTGAAAAACTCAGCCGGCTGTGACTCGAAAAACTTGGCGACCCAATTTTGGTCATCTTCACGGTTTTTGAATTTCTCATTGGCCAAAAAGCTTTTGAATCGACCGGAATCAAAGGTAATCTGAGAGAGCCAAATCGGGAGCATACGGCGGATGTGGTAAAACCTCCCATCCTAGATTCTCTAGTTTTTGCTGAGTCATTTTTGCAACGTGAGGTCTAGCGTTGTTATGGATGAACTTTATCTTTGATGTGTCTACTCCTTAACGAATGAGAGCTTCATTGACCCGATCAAGTTGCTGTTTGTAGAGGTCTGATGTGACTGTTTGGCCGGGTTGTAGAAGCTCAAAATAAACAAGGCCCTTGTTATTCCACCATACTGAGAGCATGACCTTTTTCCATGAATGTCCGGTTTCACGGTCGGATTTGGCCGTTCTCCTGGTCCTAGTCATTTCCGTTTTCGAATAGTATTAACGAAATGGATCCACTTCTCAGCTCCAGTAACAAGAGAAACAAAAAAACATGATATTTAGCGTGGCGGATGAGGATTCCGGGAATAGCCGCAACCCGTGAAGCCTTGTTTGCACTGCTTAACTTGTGCGGAAGCCATTTCCCGCATCTGATCATCTTTCCAAAGGCGTGGAGATGCTCATCAATGGTAGAATTTGAACATAGAAACTGTTGAGCAAGTTCGCGCGTCGTTTGACATGGATCCGGTTCGATTGCAGCCCTCAAAATAACGTTGTCTACCGCTTGAGGTTCATCAGGAGTGTTCATCATCCTCGAGACTTTCATCACCATTCCGAAAGCGTCGGAACCAGGCTCGGCATCGGCTTTCGGACAATACAGCATTCCCAAATGCTTTGGCCAAATCTCGATGGGATTCCACGACTATTTTGAAGTCGTAAAGTAGGCAGACGCGAACTTGATATTTGAAGTCGGTCATCTAAAGCAAGAAAAAAGCTCTTAAAAATAAGAAATTATCCGTTTTAAAAAATTCCAAATATGCACAAGATAACGTACTTTTAAATACAGAAACACATGTTTTAAAAGCTTCTCTCACAACAAAAATTTTAGCAACGATTGTTTATATCCGAACAACCTAATACTTAATTAATCAACCCTGAGAAACTTTTCTTTTTCACTATATTGAAACATTTATTTTTCAAGCACAATTTTAAAAAGAAAGGCTAAATCTAAGAACCTAAGAAGGCTAAGAATACGATTTTAAAACCAACTTTTTTAGTTTTTTAGTTTAGAACTAACTTTTTTAGTTTTTTAGTTTAAAACTAACTTTAAAACTAACTTTTAAGCTAAGAGTTTTTAAAAATATTCCTCATTTCCAGGCTACGGCGAAAAAACGGTGATCGTTGTCGGAATGGGAAACTCGGGTGTGGATGTGGCGTGTGAGCTGGGACGAGTCTCGAAACAGGTTTACTTTGAGAAATATTGCCTCCTGAATTGCCTGCTAATGTTTTTAGTTTATCCCCTCTAAATTGAAACTCATTTTTTATTTTTTGATCTTCGCAAACATCGTTTTCCAACGAAAAGGGTTTTCAAACGAAAGGAGTTTTTTTTAAAAAAAATGATTCTTAAAAGTTTCTCTCTTTTAAAAGTTAAAAGCCTTGACTTTTTTATTTGGTACCTTGACTGCTTTTATGTTGAATTCAACGAGGCGTGAGAATGCAATTCAAGAATTCAAATCTAGAGCGATTTGAACGAAGCGAAAGCGACGCTTCTCCAAACCAACTTTGTTTACCAAGCGAAGTTTGACTAAATCTGGATTAAACAATTCCTTCTGGATAAACTTTGAAACTTTAATTTGCTTTCAAATTGGAACATAGTCTTTTATTGATTCATCCACAAGAATCATTAGTGTTAAAATCTATTTTGCCCGCCCAGCTTGAAACTTTTCCTTTAAAATTTTACAACCAAATTTGCTCTAAGCAATAATAATATTTGTGAAACAAAAAACAATTGAAAAATGTTTCAAGTATTTCCTTTTCTCATTCTAGACCTACTTGGTAAGCCGTCGCGGTGCTTGGGTTTTCTCGCGAATGAAAGGAAACGATAAATGCTTTGATATGGAGTTGAACAATCGGTAAGGGGCAAAAGTAAAAGTTGGGTTTCAAAGTTGATAAAATTGTTTTTATGAGCTAGATTTCAATGACAAAAATTTTAAGGCTTTAAAGCTAAAGGCCTGAGTCAAATGCTGGTTTTTTAAAATGTATTTTGTTGTTAAGGAAATAGTTTTTGACAAGATTATCAACTTGAGAAGAAATCTTTTATTTCAAAATTGTTTTGATTAAAGGAAACAAAACTTGTTTGTTTTATTAATTGTTCTATGTGACCTGCGGATCTTTCAAATGTGTCTTTTTTTCAGTTTCATCACTCTTTCCCTTCTCAAAGTGCTACCATTTTGGATGCTGGAGCGAATGGTGGAATGGGATGTGGAGAAGAGATTCGATCACGAGAAATTCGGACTCAAACCGAAACATCATATTTTCAGGTGCAAAAAGTTTCTCTCTTCTAATCCCGTTTTCAAAAATATTTCTGTCTCTTTCTAGCGTAATTTTGTCTCCAATTTTGTCTCCAATTTATCCACTTTTTTTCTGATTCTTTGAAGGTTCACCAAAAGATATCGAAAAAGATAGAAAAAGGGGTTAGATTGAAAAAAAAATAGAGACAAGATTACGGTAGAAAGAGAAAAGGACACATTTTAGAGAACGGCTTAGGAGAGAGATTGTGGAAATGTTGCTACGCGCTCCGCCCCTTTTGCCATTGACAATCCAGCTTTAAGCTAAATTATCCTGAAAATGTTGGGCTGTTCAATTTGAATAGTTTTTGTACCAATCGATAGAGAAAGACTTGGCGTACCTAATGACACCAAGAATATTTAAATTGAACAGCTCAACATCAAGAAAATTGAGCTCAAAGTTAGATTCTCAATGGCAAAGAGGCGGGGCGCGTAGCAAATTTTCCACAACCTCTCTCCTAAGCCGTTTTCTAAAATGTGTCCTTTTCTCTTTCTACCGTAATCGTTCTATTTTTTATCTAATCTATCGACTTTTTTTTGATTCTTTGAAGGTTCACCAAAAGATATCGAAATGATAGAAAAAGGGAATAGATTTAAGAAAAATAGAGACAAGATTACGGTAGAAAGAGAAAGGTTTTAAAAAACGTAGCCGTAAAGTGAAATTTTTCGACGTAATTTTGACTTTATCTGTAATTTGCATTCAATTTCTCAAAATTTACATTTAACGTTAAATAGAAATCAAACATTTTCTTTTTATTCTTTTTAGAGACAATTTTACGGTGAAAAGAGAAAGGAAACACGTTTTAGAAAACGATTAAGAAGAGAGAAATGCTTTAAACTCACAGCAAGAATTGCATTTCAGAAATCTCTCACAATCTCTCTTCCAAGCCATTTTCTAAAACGTGTTCCCTTTCTCTTTCTACCGTAATCTTTCTATTTTTTATCTAATCTATCCACTTTTTTTCTGATTCTGTGACGTTTCACAAAAGATATCGAAAGATAGAAAAAAAAATTAATGGATTGGATAAAAACAGAGACAAGATTACGGTGAAAAGAATCCTTTTTCCAAAACAGATTCCACTTTTTTTTAGTCAAATTTAATGAGGGTCATTTTAAAACCAACCTTAAGTCGATCTGATAATTGGAAGTCGAATTATAGAGTAAAATAGAAAATTTGACTATAGAAAAACGGCACTTTAGCGCACTACTCTTCAAGAGTGTTTTTCTCTATGTTTTTATCAAAGAGTATACAAAACAAATTCTACTTTTCTATAACCAAATTTAATCAGGATTCTTTTAAAACTAACCCTGAGACGATCCGATTAGAAAGAAAAGGAACACGTTTTAGAAAACGATTAACAAGAGAGAAATGCCTTAAAGGCACAGCCAAAAATTGCATTTCAGAAGAAATTGATTTCAAATTTTACAATCTTTGCTTTCAAATGTTACAACTTTTCATTCATACGTTCTCCATGAGATTTGACCTCAAACTTCGGCAACTAAACGAGAATATAAAACAAGAGAACAAAAGCAAAAGATTTGTCAGCAAAAATGGGCCCTTGATGAAAAATGATGACGAAGTTTTACCTTTCTTGATATACTTTTAAAGTACCGCCCCCAAGTGTCCCCATTGCCGGAGGCAAACTAAATTTTTTGCGTTTTTCGCTTACTTGACCGATTTGACAACACTTGGTTTCATTGCATAAATATTAATCAGGGGTATCGAATGAAATCAAGTGTAGCCAAATCGATCAAGTGAGCAGCGAGAAAAACGCAAGAAACTTAGTTTGCCTCTGGCAATGGAGACCCTTGGGGGCGGTACTTTAAAAGTGGATTTCTGTAGGTCAAAATTGACTTTAACTTTAAGTTTAACTTTTAAACGAGTCTGCTCATTTAGATTCAAATTTTATTTCATTTTAGTGCTCATCCAACTCTTTCCGATGAGCTGCCAAATCGGGTGATGTCCGGGACTGTGAAAGTGAGAACTTTTAACATTTAAGATAAAGGAAATCTTGTTAAATCTCTCTAAATCTCCTTCATAGTTCATAAATTCTTTTTATTTAATTCATTTAAATGTTTTAACCTTTAAATTTAGGTAAAGCCGGGAATCTCGAAATTCGTTGGCAGTACCGTCTACTTTGAGGATGGGACGAAAGCGGAAAATGTTGATGAGGTGAAAAAATGAACTCAATGTTTCAAAATAAAGGAATAGAAAGCAAGCAGCCAAAACTTAATGTAAGGTGATTTCGAAGTTTTAAAAATAGAAATCTCTTGAAAGCTATTAAACTTTAATAATTTGAACTTTAAATCGTTAAAAAGAAAATTCAAATTCAAAATATTTCAGGTTGTTTGCTGCACCGGCTACTCGTTCACTTTCCCGCTCCTCGAAAAGGGAAACCTTTTGCCGGTGACAGGTAAAATTTTGACAATTTCAAAATCTAGTGACGGATCTTAAAAGATAATCGTTTTTAAAGAAGTAAGTAAGAATTTCGTTAGTAAATAAGATTACTATCTTTTACAAGAAATTTTGTCTTTCTTTTGTCTCAAGAAAATATCAATTCTTCTTCAAATTCCAGGCAACAGACACGGTGGCATCTACAAATTTATGTTCCCGCTGCAGATAGCCGACAAAAACTCGCTGGCTTTGATCGGGCTTGTTCAGGTGGGGAAAGTTGAAACCGAAAGAATGAAGAACTAGAAGAAGAAATAGAATTTGCTCAAGCCACATTCGAAGTTGTCTAGGTTGAAACTTTGCAATCAAAATCAATCTGGTTTCAATTGATTTTATGAAACTTGGGTACCATTAGCCTGTCCAGAAAGTCTTTTCATTCCTTTTCATACTTTCATGTAAAACCAACAAATCCACCAATTGAACTACGGTTTATTTCATCGGAAAAGTCATTTTTCTGAAGGGAAATCAAGAGGAATAGCTGCTGACCTTGGTGCATTTGCTTTTGATTAACGCTATTGATCAATAGGTCTAATCGAAATCGTAATTCACTGAAGCTTTTCTGGAGCCAATTCGTTGTTACCTTATATTAAGCTATCCAGAAAGTCTTTTCGTTTCTTTTCAAACTTTCGTAAAATCAACAAATCCACCAATTGAACTACGGTTTATTTCATCAGAAAAGTCAATTATTTTTCTGCAAAATAACATTAAAACGGGTTCCAAATGTCTTATTTTTGGATCTTTTTGGGAGCGTGAAGTCGGAAAGTCAAAAAGACGGCTCGATCATACGGTTTCAAAGCAAACACCTTTCCAGCTTGTTTATGAAGTTTAATAAAAGCAGATTGCTTGGTGATTGATTGGTGATTGCTTGGTGATTGCTTGGTGATTGATTGGTGACTAACTCAATCAAAACCGAAAGGATGGTACCAAATTTTAATGCCAATCCTCAAATGAAATAAAGTTATCATTTTTTTTCAGCCATGGGGCAGCATTATGCCAATCTCGGAGATGCAGGCTCGTGTCTTTTTTGCGAACCTTCGTGGGGACATCAAGTTGCCCGAAAAGGTAAGGTTTTGAGAAAATTAAACTCTTAAAACCGGTAAAAGTTTACTAAAAAAGATTCAAAAGTTTGAAAGAGGCAAAATTTCATTTGATTTTATGCTATAACAATGAAAAAATTGTTTCAAACTAGAATGAAACTAGAATTGAAGTAGAATAGAACTAGAATAGAACTAGAATAGAACTAGAATTGAACTAGAATTGAACTAGAATAGAAGTAGTACACTCTACAGTAATAAAAACAGCACCATGTTTCCTGATTCTTATAAACTTTAAACCTCTATTGATTCAGAATAAATTCTTACTTAAAAAGTCTAGGAAATGATGAAAAAGGAAGCGGTGGAGGCGGTTGAAGCGTTGGGTAAACGATACGTTGACAGTCCAAGGCATACATTGCAGGTAAAAAGCTCTCGAGGTTATCTGTTTCAAAATTAGCTCTGATCTAACAGAGTTAAAGTTTAATAGTCGATAGCTTTCTGCAAAATAAATGCTATTTGTAGGTCGATTTCGTGCCCTACATCGAGGATTTAGCGAAAATGATTGACTGTCACCCGGATGAATGGAATTACGTCTTCTCCGATCCGATTTTATTCAAAGCCGTGGGGTTTTACAGAGTGTCAAACATGAAACTTAACTTTCTTAACGGTGAAAATGAATGATACTTGTTTGACTTGCTTAGAGCTTGAAGCTTGACTTGCTCATAGCTTGGAGCTTGACTTGCCCAGCTTGAAGCTTGATTTATTAAGCTTAATAGCAACTCTCTCAAAAGCTTAAGCTCTCTCAAAAGTTCCTAAATTCTGTAAAATTCAGTAAAAATATGTAAAATGTAACAAAAGATGGAATGTAAAATGGAAAAGATGCATTCGGAATGGATTCAAGATCCTTTGAGAACAATTTTTGACTACGTCTGAGATTCGCGGTCCATTTATTAGCTTTTGTAACCTTGAACTATCTTTGCCCAATTTGAAACTTATCTTTTCATTTAAAGACTTAAAGGTTTTAATTTTTTTTAACAAATTTAAAACAAAATTGTTCACAAATTTTTCAGGTTCAATTCGGCCCCAATGTCGCTTATGTCTACCGTTTGAGGGGTCCTTTCGCGTGGAAAGGAGCGCGGAAAGCCGTGATGGAAGTGATGGATCGAGTGGATCAGGTTCGTGATGGGGAAAATAGCAATATCATTATAAAGAGCTTATTATTTAATACAAGATAAATCTAGTGATAGTGGTTAGAAATATGGAAAGTCTATCGGAAAATCTTTTCTAGCTGATATCATAGATATAAAATAAAGCAATTGAAATTCGGCTGCTTTAAAGTGATAAGAAAAGATCGAATAACAGAAAGGACAGACTTTTCTTCAGATAAATTTCACTTTTCATTATGTGTTCGTTCCTAGGAGTAAACGGATACGGACTAGAATTTGGATTAAGTTAAAGAGAGTGGATCCTTTTGATATCCCGCCATCTCTAACACCCCGACAACTCAACTCAACTCCTCCAACGTATTAGGGGGGAGTCCATGTGAAATGACCGACCTGAACTGCAGTTCCATAGACCCGAAAAGATATGTATCTTTATTTACAGTAGTACGATAAGACGAATAGATTACAAATGAATGAAAGGGGAAGGGGGACTCCAAGTGAGAGCCTCACTTGTTCTCCTAGGCAATCCCAAGGACCGCCCCTTCTCGGCGATGAAAGGGATAAGCACAGGGGAGATCACATTTACATAAGAATAGACAAATCATTCAATAATAACAATAGCAACTAAAATATCAGTTTGGCTCGGAGCTGACATAGCTGACTCTTTTTCGGACGGCCGAACTATGGATAAATGTTTCTTTTGTAAGTTGCTAAATTTGAAACTCGAAAAGCGAAACGGTTCTTCAGGTTGAAAATGATGTGACATTCAAAATGCATATCAAAGCTTAAATTTAGTTTTCTTTTAACTTAACAACCATACCTAGAGCCCATTGAACTATAGTAGTTTCTTCTGCTAAAGCACTTGTTAGCCTTTAAACTCTAACACGCTAAAGTAGTTGTAACTTTGTGCTCTGGCAGGCATAAAAACTGTGAAATTGTCCAGTCAAGTTATCCAGCCAGGTATACAGAATTGATACTTTTGACTATTTTGCACGCCACGCACGCCACAAGCCATATTTTTTTATTTGCTTCTCATCCAAATACGGTTGTTTGATCTCTCTCGAACGAGTGTTGACGCGGTTCACCTTTCCCTATCCATTCTACCATCGATTCGCTATTGCTCTATCCAATCTATCGTTAGCTTTTTAAAATCCCAATTTGGCGCAGCGTGCAAAATAGTCAAAAGTCTTTTCATTGTCTATTCATTGTCTATTCATTGTCTATTCAAAGTCATCCTGTCTATTCATTCATCCATTCATTATCTCGACATTCTCAACAGCCTTCAAAGCATTATCGAAACAAAATAGTTTTTAAATAAAAAGTGAGAAAGTTGTCCGTTTTCATAGTGAGAATCTCAAGCAACAAGCCACTAAAACTCTGTGCAAGTTACCCAAATTGAAATCCGGGAATTTCTTAACCTTTTGCTACGGACTTTTAGAAAAAATTAAGTTTTTTAGCCAAATATCTCTTCAGGTTACTGTAGGGAGGGAAAATACTTCACTTTACAGTATCTTGCAAGCAAAACTCGCCAAATTTCAGGGAATCTCCGGCGGGCGTCCGGTGAGAAGAAAGGGAGTTTCGGAGCTACTTTTGGAAAATCACATTTTAGTCATTGTTTTGATTTTTGTCATTTTATACTTCATCTTTTGAAGCTTCTAAATTTAAAAAATAAATTGCATGACAGTTTTTAAACACTTTAAAACTTTAAACTTTAAACTTGACCCTTTAAAACTTGAGCTATTCCTGTGCTTCAAAAAAAGAAATTTCAAATTTTTCCTCTTTACTCAAATTCTGTGCAATTTTGTTTGTGCTTAAATTCTCAAGCTATCCGAATTTTCTCGATGATCCCTTTACAATCCTTTTCTACTTTTTGGGGGGAATTTGTGAGGCAAAGAAATTTCTGAAATTCTCTCGAAAAGCCAGTTTTTTTTGTGCTTAAAGATTTTAATTTTCAGTTCACAAAACTTTTCTAGTTGCTTGTTGTTAGATTTTGTGATGAATAAATAAAAGCTATTAAGCTAAATACATAAAATAATATAATGATTTATAATGTCAAACTTGTCAAAGCTCGATCGGCTCAAAGGGTTTTTTCTAAAATAGCATAACAGACAGACAGACAGACAGTAACCGTCTCATCAATTTCTCAAACACAACCGAAATCTTCAAAATTCAGAGAAAAATCTTTCGTGACGAAGGCGCTAAATTTTATGTTGACAACGGCTGTGAACGATCGAGGATACGGTATCTCCCAGAGGACAATACTTAGGAGCTGATTTCGATGAATCTAAAACAACAACTAGGCAAAAAGTACTAGGCAAAAGCTAGCTAATACCAGGCCGGTTTTCTATTCTTGTCATTATTATTATTATTGCTCACCGAAAAGGTTCCATCTTATCGCAAACATATCTCCCAGCACTCTTCATTTCCCCCGTTTTCACTCCTCTCAATGTGTTGATCAAAGTAGATTTACCAGCTCCTAGCCGACCGCAAAACCCGATATTTAGTCGATTCTAAATCATGAAAATTAGAGAAGGACTTTTCCCTTTATCAGAGGGGCGAAATTTTTTTGGTTTTTATTTCACCAAAACATTCTTATTTCATATTTCGACGCACTTTATATCCAAATTAAAGTCCGGTTTTCTGAATGCATTATTTTCTTTTCTGGATGAAGTTTTGAATGTATTATTTCCTTGCATTTAAGTGATATTGCATTATGTATTTATCTGAGCTAAATGCAATTTACTTGTTGTCAACAAATTTGTTTATTCTTACCACTCCTCTAGCACAAAAGCCTATTGATCAATGAGTCAATTGAGCTTCCACATGGGCAGAATTCTTTCATGTCATGCGGCAATCGTAGTATCTCCATAGGTCCATTTGTAGAAGGAGAGAACGATGCTCTTGAAGTTGAGCTTGGTGTTTTCCAGCCAGTTATTAGATCGGATTGAGCAACTGGAGTTGCGAGCTCACGAGCTCACGGTCCAGCACCCACCCTTTTTTCCTACATCTGTGGACGACAATTCCGATCAAAAAGCATATAATGAAATCAAAAACTTTATATTCTAAAAGCAAAATCTCATGACTTTTACAGTACATAATCGCAACAGCCCCTTTTTTATCGCTTTACTTCTTCCACTTACATTGATCGACTTTACTCACAAGGTACTACTGTACTTTATATTTAAAAATGTGAACAAACCTTTTTCAATGCATTCAATTCAAATAACAATCAATTACCGTCACAAGAAAGCTTAAAAAGTACATCAGAAAGCGGGCGTTTACAGATTTTAGAGCATAAAGTACATCTGAAGCCGGAATAAGCTTGTTTTTAGCATTTTATGAACTATTTCTCTGCAAAAACAACACTACTTAAGCCTCAATGCCTTCAAGAACGGCAAATGGAGAACAAGAAAATGCCAAAAAGCATAAGAAGATCGGCACCTGTGAAACCGGAAGCTGTGATTGTTGGTGGGTTTTAGAAAATAAATTTAGAACTTCAAGATGAACTTAAAGAGCCACAAATGAAACTATAAACAAACAAACAAACAAACCAACAAACCAACAAACTCTCAAGGGATCCGCTGATTACGTCGCAACATATGAAGCCAACTGGAAAGATTTTCAATGAGCGATGGTCGAACGTGGGGGCACGTACCTTTGATATTTATCTTCGTCTCGGCCAAAGGGTGCATCTTCGGGCAAACAAAGGCGTCACGGATTGTAGGGTGTCAAGTTGTTCATTCCATCGGATCTTACTTCAGCCACGAAGATCTAAAGTTAAAAAGATCAACTTAGTTCAGCTAAATCTTACTTCAGGTCACATGCTTCTGCCGAACCGAATTTGTGTGGCCGAAAAATCCCAAAAAAAAAGTTTTCACAATACAATAATAAAAAAGATACCGTCATGTGTCTTTAACACAACAAAATATCGTTCAAAAAAGGAAATTGTACAACTTTATTTCAGAGACCATTAAATTCGGAAAGACGACACAATCAAAACACGAAAACTGTAAAAAAACCCCAATTAAAATCCTCAAAACTCCATCATTTCCGATTGTGTCGAATGTGGAAGGCGAGAAATCGTAGCCCGTCACCGCTGCATTTTTGAAGCATGTAGACACAATCCCTGCTCGAGTCAATGTTTCGTCGAAAAAATAGAGTGTCTTGCATCAAATCAACATGCTCCTTTCCGAGAGCACGATGATTTTTCAAGTGTTCGGTCGCCATTCTGATGACTTCTGCTTCATTTTCCCGGTCGAATCGCTGCATTCCACGGAATTGCGAAAGAAAATCCACGATTTGGGCATTCACTTCCGGAGAATAGAAGGTTAAAACACAAAAAGAGCCCCCCAAATTCTTGTCTGGGATTTGTTTTTTAACTATTGATTGCACGATCTCGCAAAAATCGTCCTCGTATGTTGACATCGACATGAATTTGATCGAAGTCTTGGCAAAGGCATCGTAGAAAAAGTGAAACGTTGTTGAATCACCTTCAAAATGGAATATTTTGCAGCCATTCGCCTGATTTGAAAGAAAATTCTCAAAAAGCTTGGCGGTCCCTTGATTTTCCCAACCAATGTCCAAGCCAAGCCACACGGATTCTTCAACCACCGAGCGGAAAGTTTCAAGAAATTTTGGCCAGCACTGCTCACTTTTCCGGCTCACAGTCAAATGTTTCACAGAGTTCAATTGATTCAGAATCGTCGCCTCTTCGTCGCCGAATTGTTCGTCTGACCGCAAGTCTATCCACAATTTGTCACAAGAGCGGATCCGTTTGCTTAGTGAACGATGAGTGGCATTAAATTCGAACCAAGATGAGCCGGGGAACTTGAAGAGCCAAATATAACTCTGTACCAACTGAATCTCGTACACGTGATGGTCGAAAACGAGCCACGGATTTCCTGAAAGCATCCACTGAAATCCCTTATTCACTTTGGCCAACTCGATCGTATCTTTCGCGTCCATTTCCTTAAGCACTTCCAACTTCAGATCGTAGTAGAGCTTCTCCATCTGAAATGACGTCAGATTCCTCATTTCAAATGGCATTTCGAGCGGCATTCTTGCACCTGTAAAAGAAAACGATTCGTTTCTGTTGATAAATGAAAGAGAAAACACAAAAAGCAATAAATCTTTAGTGACCAAATGGTTTTCTAAAGTTCCCGAGCTCAAAATTGGCCCTTAATAACCTTTTCAAGCCAACAGCTTGTCGAATTTCATAAAAATTGCCCAAGAAAAAACTGGACAGCTAAGAACCCAGCGGATTTTTCACAAAAAGAATCACGGAAAAACGTGCAACTTATCAAATCTAAATCGAAAATGGGGATTTGAGATTTAAAACGCGATCGAAAGCTGCAACGAAATTTTAAGGTTAAAGAAGTTAAAACCATAAACACCACAAAAATCTACCGTTGACGCTTTTAGGGAGTAGAGCAGAATGAAAAATTTGAGAACTTTCACCGATTCTTTTCGTTAACTGAATATCTTAAACTAAAGGCAATTCTTAAATGGGTTTCAGTGCTTTAGTTAAAGTGGAAGGCAATTTTCTCTACTATATAAGAATAATCAAAGGCGACGAGACAAAACCATTTGAAACAACAAACTCTGGGCAAAGAATATAAAAAGAAGGGAACGAGTGAGGGGAGATAGAGTACTTTAAAAAGCGCTACAAAAACATAATAGATTCCACGAACGCGGGAAGAAAACTTGGCGGGACTCGGCATAAAACCTGAACGCATGACGCGCCGCTTGCGCCCCAGGTGCCAGGAATTTTTTTGAAGTAAAAAGCGTCAAAAATTGAGTGCATACGCAATTATCGGAGTTGATTTTGTTAGGACTTGCCAAGGAATTGAAACTTGGGACATAACAAAAACGGAACAAATTTTGCGGTGTACTTTGTGCTCACTAATAAATGCATCCCTTCTGGCGTACTGAACCCTTCATTTTTCTCGTGACCGTAGATCTCGACAGGAAAAATAAGGACTCCGGTGAACCATAAAGGAAGTATTTACGACCGCACAGAATACGTCCAAAATGTAGCCGTTACCAACACATAGTGTTCAACCTAATATTTCAATTATGTTGTAAGGCAAGATATGTGGCTTTATATAGCGAAGCGAGCACCCAAGGGCATCAACACTATGCCGAGATCCGGGCCGACTACGGCAAGCCCCGTGGCTACTGCTCTAAATAATGAAGGAGTTGACGAGAACTTGACATTCACATTTTATTTATAAATAGCGATTTGATTTGAGTTTGAAATATTAGGTTGGCCCGAGGGTCTTGTCGTTTTTTGAAGTTAGAATTTTTCAAAAGCCGAACCATGAACTGTTTTAAAATTTTTACTGCAAAGTAGAATAATCTTTGAGAAACTATTGCCAAAAAGCGAAAACATGTTTCCAGTAAAGTATTGTAAGTAAAGTGTTGTCGGCCACTTTTTGAGTGTTCCTCTTCTGATGAACTTTTTCAGGGCAAAATTTTAGATATCGAGCTAAACTCAAAGAATTTCAAATTAATAGATTAACAAAAATTTCTAATGAAGCCAAATTTTATATAAAGCTATAACTTTTAAGAAAGGCTCTTTCTTATAAGGTGTTAGCATCCAAACTGAAAACTCGAATCGAATCGTGGTCTTTTGGCAAAAAAAATCAGTCGAGAAATTGTTCTCACACAATTTCTCGCCGCTTCTAATGCAAGGTTTTTTTATGTACTTGTTGCTTAACTGCCTGAATCTAAGTGTTAAAACTCCCGTTGACGTATATTTGAGATAGTGCAGGCAATGACCCACTGTTTAGCTCTTGATATCTTTTTGTTTTTATTCTCAACATGTTTTACTCTAAATATCATTTGTTTTCTAGATGAGTGAGAAAGACGACATCGGCGGCGAACCGACGGCACCGTCGTCTGAACCTCAAGAGCTTGCTTCTCACCGACGATTGGAGGCCTTCTCCAATCATGCGGCTCTCCTCCTAGCAAGATCTTTACAATTGGTAAATCGATTTTAATTTTTCGACTGCTTACGAATGTAGACTCACCTGCCGACTTGGGTAACCTACTCCCTGATCAATTGACTTCATTTTAGATATCGATGACGACGAAATGAAAGAAGACTCCACGCAAATTAAACCGCGGAATGTTTTTTCTGATTGTGTAATTTTAAATTTCTTGGTTCCTTTTTATTTCTGCCTCTAGAAAGCCAGATCACATCCGAATTTTGATGATGAAGCATGCGACAAGTAAAAATTGCATTTTTAAAATGGTTTTTAT